AGCTCATAGATCAAAACACCCTTTTGATCCCACCACCAAATGCACACACAGCATTACTTTTTGGCAATGAACATTCCGCTTTCGTTGCACGCTCTCGAGTAAAGAGAAACCATCTCAGCAGGTTCTTCAGATGAAGCTTGTCCTTCATAGAAGCATCCGATGGGCTTCAATGCCAGTTTTCTTAAAAACAAACAGCAGGCGAAGGGCTACCCGGAAAAACGGTTTATCACGTTCCATGTCCAATCAGCTGAAAAGCAACGGGATTTTGGGGAAAAACTGATCTGTCTGCCCTTAATTAGGTAGCCAGTACCCTTCCTTACAGAACATGACAGGTGTCACCGGTAAACCTCTAACATGGTTCGCGCAACGGCCCTTGGAATTCGGCGGCGGAAACTAATGCGCACACCTAATACATTACAGTACCATGTGCTTGCCCTAGACGAAAAGCATTTGTGGTGACAGAGGTGACGGAGAATTTCTGCTGTTTGAAGCTAAACTGAGTAGGATTTTATTATTACCAGGAGACAATATAGCATACAACTTCTAAAAAACAATTGCGAAAGTATAAAAGATGTCCTTGACGAAGCATTGCATTAATTTTACGAAACTTGCATAATATCACCACAATGCAAAATAAATGACATTTTATTGAAGGCTTCACCAAAGAGAAATCCGAGAATAGCTATTCTGCGACGACAGAGAGATACGACCATAATGAAGTTGGCATTACTACTATGATACAATATTACAAGATATAATAGAAGTCAAGGTCGTGAAAGAAGCCAACCTTAGTTATACAACAGAATTCAGTCGACCTTTTAGATATAATACACTCATGAGTTTTATTCAAAAGCATCAGAATGTTCTCTTTGGACATTTACAGAAAAGGTCGTACCAAATTCGAAATTACTCTTCCGAGAGGTCTCTATACAGCAAAACCGTAAGTAGTGTAACCTCGACGTTTGAGAGCGTAAACGACACCTATTTCGTTTGCGGTCTTGCGCCTGACATGTTCACAGTAAGTAACAGCATCATGGATCACTCCCTCTAAAAACCTTCACAACACCACATATAAGCTCGTAGACGTCTTCAGAAATAAGTTGCACTCCTCCGCGGAGTTCAAGTCGACGAATACCTCCATTGGTAAATCTCATCCAATAGTACTTTCTCACCATGTGAGGACACCTTGCACGTTTTCTGCTTCTTCCTGTACCGTGCATTGTTAGCAGTGAGATGGCAAAGAGGATAGCTGGCCGTCAGCGGCTTACAGTAGTAAGGGGTGTGATTGATCAAAAGGGCAATGGAATAGGCTCCACGATTTCGTAACCTATCCACGGTAATGAATTGGAGCACCCTACCGTAACCCATCAATCGCGATTGAACTTCGTCCCTATTGAACTGCTAAATTCCCACCTTTACATGTTCTTACCCCCGTGGGCTCAACTTTGACGGCTTTTTCGCTAAGCTTTTATGTTGTGTTTGTGGTCCTGTTGACCCCCTTCATATTTCTTCATTTTCTCTACAATTTGCTTACCGATGCCTCGGGTTACAACGGGAAGTGGCATAAATTCACAAAATTGAGCTATAGTGAAAAACTTACGTGAACCAGATCGCAAGGAAACTGAGATGATAACTACGACGCGTGACGATGAATAACGACCAGTAATCTAGACAAGGACATGCATACACAAATACAAATCTGAAATAATAGTAGTTGGAAAAGAGAAACATACGAAAACAGTAACGAAGAGCGAGAAAAGGTGAAAAATAGTTATCAGCTCGTTTTTGCAACGGCGAGTTCAAACAAATCGCCAATAGCAATTCAAACGAAGCCCTAAATGAAGTTACAGTAAAGGATGATCGGCGGGTCCCGCAACGAACTAATCCAAGCAGTGGGCAGCTTGACAAAAATTTGTCCTGCATTTTTTCAGGGTGTTGGTTTAGACGGCAGTGGACAGGAGAGCATTATTAGTCGTTCGATTACGAAAATAGAATAAAAATAAACGAAGACCAATACAATAGCATTGCAAACACGACATACAAAAAAAACGACGGTCGACTCTCAAAATGCTATGAAAACTAGTCATCGCCGATTTGCGGTACCGATCTGTACTCAGTGCGCTAAACAAGTGACCAGCGCCGCCGTCGCATCGCACTCGCTTGCTCTCACGCGAGCACGCATGCAGGTTGAATGATTGAAGTCTGAAAGTAGCCTTTGGAGGAACACATCACTTTCCGAAGGGTTGGGGAAACGAAATCAGGTGCAGGGTGAATAGGAGCGTGCCTTTTCATTACGATTGGATCACCTGCATCATCTTTCTTCCCGTTGATTGTCGATTTCCTCGAGCGGGCGCTTATAGCCTCCCTTAGTCGGTGACGCGAGTTAGAGTGGGTCGTCCTCATTTCAGGGACATGAGACACAGCATTTCCTTTGTTCAAGGTTTTGTGAAACAGTTTTACGTCTCGATGGATCCAGTCGGTAATCGCTCCGGTCCATCCAGCATCACGATAGCGCATAACGTAACCGCACACCTGATCTTCGATTTTTTGGTGTATGCAACATCCTGATCTTCGTTAGCTGACGAAGTTTGGAACTCGAATTCGGAAATTCGGATTCCCTACCACAATTGCGTGTGTAGGGATGTTCCACGCATAGTCCTTTCTAAAGCTCGTTGAGCGCCGCCAATAGCTTGTTCATCCTGCGTTCATAGAGTCTAAGTTCCTGAGAGGTATGTAAAAGCATAAAAGACCGCAGTGTTTAAAACGTGAGCGCGGAGACGAATGCTCTTTGTCCTCTTCACTACTCAATGTTCCTGAATGCTTCCCACGAGACACGTTTCCTTCTGCTTAGCTACGGAATGGAAGTGGGGCAAAATGGTGTCGCTCCGCAGAACCTCTCTCTTCACATTGGCAATGACTTGCTAACAGAATGGCGATATGCTGATCGTGAAGTCGTTGCAGAGCTCACGAAGCATCTTTATGTATTGAGTAGGAACACGCCGGGCCAGGGCTTCAATCACCGGCAACAACAACTCGACCGCATGAAACGCCTTCATCAAATCGATGAAGGTCAAACTTAACGACATGCTTTACTTCCGCGATACTCCAGTGAGTGCTGCAGCAGTGTGGATGTGATCGAATATTGTACTGAGCCCTTTCCGTTTCCCTGCTCGCTCTCATAGACGCTCCTTTACTAGAACTCTTCCGATCTTGTTGAATTGAAGCGTGTGAATAGTTTTTAGATCACAGAGAGACAGATTGGGCAATATTGCCAATATCGTCCAGATCTCCCTTCTGATACAGCAACACGGTCTTGCCAATTTTCGCGAAGTGGGCACTTTCCATTCCGAGAGATACCACGTGAAGAGTCGAGCTTGGGTTTTGACAATGACTGCCAGAAGGCCACAAGATGTTTCGGTTTGATCCTTTTGGGAGCAGGCGCCGCAAAATTCATCTTCGACGTGATGTCGAATTTCGGAAGGGAGAACTGGAGGAAGGGCATATCGCTCTTTCCTGAAGTCGTACATGATCTTCTCCTTTGTCCTTTGAGATGCAGGAATTGTTCCGTCAGGACGTCAAAGTGAAGTTATCTTGGTTTTATGATCGACAGAGCTTCGGCGGGCTTTGCAAATGCTCTTCTCATCTCGGCGGCTTTGCCGAGACTGCTGCTTATCTCTCTTTCAGATCTTTCTTAATCGCTTCTCTGCATAGCTTTGCAAGTTGGAGCGTTAGTTGGTTATTGCGTAGCTCGCCCGATTAAACGCTGCCATATCAGCTCGAGAGTCTTCATAAGAGGCGTTTTCTGGCATCTTTTAGACTCTGATTTCTTGGAACATGTTTGACACGCCGATTGCATTCTCTATGGAATTTGTCGCTAACCGAATCTTCTCGTAAACTGGCAAGTGAAGCGAAGTGGCCCCTGTGCTAGTGGTCCAGTGGTTCTTGTAATGTTTTTGTAATAATAATGGTGATTACGGAGTAAAAGTAGTACAACAAATGGTATAAGTGCGGTTGCTACCGCTATGAACGTAAAGAATAGTAGTAAACTAGGGTTTATCTTAAAATGGCACGAAATCAACGGATCGCCATTGCTGTTGTTAGCGAAAGACAGCTTTCTGGTGGTCGCGCCCTCTTGACCCCTGTATCATAGTCGGCGTCCCTACATCCTTAGAACGTCGTTTCAGACTGTTAGAGCGACGAGGGATGGGAATCGTCGACTCAGACGACAATAGTCCCAGTCCTGAAGCCTCATTTCCTGAACTTTGCAGCTCTTTCTCCACGGGCTGAAAAACAGAATCTAGGATGGAGGGGATGACGATCTAATCCTTGTAGAATTTCAGATGATGGTCTAATCCTTGTAGAACTTCAGAACAACAGTAGCTTTAGTCAAGCAAAACTTTCGATTCAAGATGACTTGACATTTTTCAGTATGGGTTTGCCCTCAGGCGACTTCCAAGTCCGTCGCACATGAGAGGGCTTCTGGAACTGCGAGTACCATGAGTACCGTGTGTCGACATGATAGTCTCGCACAGCTTTTCACCCTGTTCCCTCCATTCCATTGCGTAAGTGTCGATAAGGAGATTTTCAGCCATTCTTCTTGGGCCAACCTTGGGGATGAAATCAACGGCGATGACGTTGAAGAAGGTGTGGTCTTCTCTGTAGAGCCTCTCTAAATTCAAATAAGAGCTCTTCTTCGTCGTAGCTCGATGTTGGTGCGTAGGGATCGATGATTTTAGAGCCAAGGTTGGGCCACATCTTCTCAACCGCTGAGCCCGATTCGGATTGTCAAGCTTTCGCATCAATCGATGCTCATGGACAAGGCGTGTGATGAGAACACCTTCACCGGCGACGCCTCTGCTGTCGTATGTTCCAAGAAGGAGTTCCTCTCTATCTTCGGAAATGGCCTGTAACGGGCGGTGCCTTCTGGTTTTTCTAAGTCTGATGACGTCGTATTTGATCTTCCTGGCTCGCATCATCAGATCTTCGATATACGCTTCCGATGCAGCGTTCGTGCATTGAAAGTACAGATCGCCGTCTTAATCCTTCTCCTTTCAGGCTGCCTGTCATGGCCCTGAGATCACCGCCGAAAGTAAAAAGCGTTGGCGAGAGATTTCGGACAGTACGAGCCGACGTCTGATGCTAGAGACGAGAGCATGTTGTCGGGCAACAGTTATAACGTGCTATGGATTCCACGCAAAAAGGAATTGTCTTGAATTTAGGAGATCCACGTCTTGACGCTGGCCATCAAGTCATCAACTTCGTCGATATTTCTGTTCGTTAGCAAATTTTCAATGACTGTTCCATCGCCGAGAAGTTCGTTGAGATCACTTTATGACTGTGCCACCTACCAACATTTCTCGAAGTAATAGAGCATAATGTGGCGTATATGAAGATGACTTTTTCTAGACATATTTCAGTTAAAGAGAGCAAGAAGATCGTTTCTATTGAATCCTAAATTCAATATTCAATTTGTATCAAAAGAAAAGAAGCCGCGAAAAAATTCGCAATAATTATGCATCAACCTACTAGTCGAAGAGTCTACTCTTGGACTCTCTGAGCATCCGTGTAGGCAATCAACGCGGCGTCGCCATTTTTTCGGGTGGTGCAGTAGGAACGAAATAGTTGATTCACGACGCGCGCGAAGGAATGTAGCAGAATGCAGCAGCAAGCAAGAAATAAAGGAACAAAACGACTAACAGTAGAATCATGCCAAAAGTAATAACTGCATAGCGATTGAGCTGTAAGAAGAACTCGAGAACTGTAATAACGGCAAAACGAAGTCCGCGGCAGCCGCGTGCGGCGAATCGATTACACAAAACCGTTCCTACAGCCCGTCTTCCCATTTTTTTTCACTCATTTAAATGCTCTCTTTGATCCTTTTCATCAAGACACCTTTCACTTGAATGTGCTCTTCTTGTAGTTTATCCTTGAGCAACGATGGTGGGTAGATCCAGCAACAGTAGATCGAATTTTGAGAGCAGAAGGGTTCGCTGGCGCCCTCCTCAGTGGTCCGATTCTTGTGAGATGTGACTTCATTGTCGCTAATGATCTTCCCTATGGTATTCACTCTTTTCCCAAGCGTCTCCTATTCTACTTGTGATCCCCTCGAATTTGCTTGTCGAGTGGCTTGTGTATTCGATCGGCCAATAGGCCTTATGGTGCTACGCAGTTCTTTCGAAAAAGTTGATGTAATATTCATTGTGCACACCAAGGATGCAGCGGGTAGGAATGAAAAACGTCAAAGCATGGTTCTTAGGTGCTTATAAACCATTGCTAACGGTATTTAAAAGAATATCCGCTTGATCCGCCTACCATAGAATTTGCAGCGCCACCTCCTACTCATTTCAGACTGAAACATGTGCAACTGCCATTTCGCGCAATTATAAGTTCATCAAGTGAGCCAGTGAGTTGAACGCTATCGGCCCGTATAGCCACAAATCGTTCCCATCTGGTCATGACCAGGGTCAAATTCTGTGCGCTTACCAGAACGTGAATGACCAGTGCTGATGCCCTCCCTAAGTTTACTTGAGCCTTACGGGGTGGTGAGAGGAGGGGGAGCGGGGGAGGCGGGGACGTGGAGGTCATGCAAAGTTCTCCTTCCTTATCTCGATTACGGACATATCGTATGAAATCATATGAAATGCTGAACATGATACAAGTAAACTTTTATGAGAGTTTTAAAGTACAAGTCATTCACGAGATCAGAATCTATTCTTGGTTGATTATGAACTTTATACACGCAGCAAACTGAAACAAAAGATGGTGACAGATTCCAAAAATTCTCAAAAAGGTGGCACGAGAGAGGATGGAAATGATATACATATTTTAATCAGACACGGTTCGTAACCAACTCTCAAATTGCAATAAATAAATATGGATACGGGTGATCTATTATAAAATTTAAAAGGAATCGATTATCATTCACGAAGCCAGCTTTTTGAGGAGGATAACCATCTATCATGGGAACTAGGAGACCTGTACGATGGCTTTTGGGATACAGATTTGCGTGGCAGAGTCGAAATTAATAAAGAATTGCTCATAATTTGTTCACTTCAAATACACGGCACTGCTGTATTGCTATTTTCCCCTCTAACACTCTAACTCCAAAAACTGTTAGCGTTTGAGGTGTTTAATTGCTGTCTATGTTCTCACAGCATTCATCTACATACATATGGGGATGTTCCAAAAGTTCAACACTGTCAGAAAGGAGAACGTCCTAGGCGTTAATTATAGAATAAATTTGTGTAGTTTGTATCCAGTACACACAAAAGATCGTTGATTGGAAGAGATTGGTCCATTCTGTTCCATACAAATACGTTCACGTTTAATCCATTGCTGATTGAAAATGTGACGCTGATCTGGAGGCGACTGTTGTCGACTTCGTCTTTTTGAAGAGTTGAACGAATACTCTTCGAAACTGCTTGTTGAATGTCAATGTTATCACTCTGAAAGCTCCTTTTAGCTGAGTGAGAATGAACAAAGTAATTTCTGCTAAAACACCGCACGGTACTTCGACTCGAATGGTATAAATGAAGGCTACCTAGGGTTGCCTATGGGTCCTCGCTTTTACTAGAAAAACTCTAACTGGTATACAAAACGGCGTAAAAGCGCACGCAGGGAGCAGCAAATGAATTATGCGGCTGGAAAAGGACAACTATTTACACTTTGCGTACGGTTCCTGACTGCAAGCAATGCACGCACCAAGCCTCCTGGCCGAGAGGCGATGGTAAGCCTGGCTTTTGACTAATATCTCAACCCTCTTCATCCTCCCAGAATGGTTGCCTTCAGCTCAAAGGCACAGTTAACGTTAATTTTGAAATACCCCTCTTTAGCCGAAAAGCGGAAATCTAGGTTGGGAGTAGCTCATTGGTAGTGAGGAAAGCGAGAAAACCCTTCGATTTCTAGAAGAACAAGGCTCCTCAAAAGTAGGAAAATAGAGGTTGGACGAGATTACCATGACGTGAACAACATGGAAGGGGTATTTGGACGAGATTTCGGTTGTTGCAATTGCGCGAAGAGCGAACTACATCAAGCCAGAACTGTACAGAACTGCCTTCCTCTGCCGCTGTGGGCCATGACAAGTTGTTTGAACTTCCTACACGGGCTCCTTTGTGGTTTGTGCAGCCTCTACAATGCCGGTGAAACTCGTCCGAGGGTACACACGAGCCAATCTTCGAGCCTTTAGAACGCCCTAACCTGGCCGTTTTCCAACATGATAGCACCAGATATGGTATTAGAGGGCCCTCAAAACCATCCTGTAGAGAAATTCCAGAAACCAGTTTATCGCGAACTGCGCCTTTGAACTGTAACATATCAAAACTGTACAACAATTATCGTGCAATATAAAGAACTGTTGGCTTTTCTTCCTTAAATCCAGTCAAGACATTTTCCTACAGCACTGCGATTACATGCCATTGGGAATTTTCCATTGGGTAGTGAGGTAAGATGGGTTACAGCGAACGCATGAATCCTATCTAAATAAGGGAGAGCACTTAAGTAGGTCTCATAGGTTGTAATTACAGCTAAAATTGCAGTTATTAAATTTGACCGGTATGAAGGCCGAAAATATAGGCGCAAGTTTGGAGCTTGATAACTGCGACTTTCCATCAACGGGTAAGCCGACAAAAAGCACAAATTAATGGGAAAAAACAGGATATCCTGTTTTCCTTGCGTGGTGGGTAAGAGTTTCACTTACAACGCATTCTCTCTTCCGACTCTCTTTACTTACTACTTCCTATACGACTTCCGAGTTCTGACTTTAAATTTTTGTTCATTTGAAAATTGGCCTAGAGAAGCTTAGCAGCTACAACAACTGCGAAATACATTGCCCGTTTTTCCGCTTTCTCGGATCAAAAATGTTCCCTACTACACGCTTGACTATAGCTACCGATTCAAACCTATTGCAGCAGTAGTCCTTAACGATATCATGTTACATTACTGTTCCAATGCACAAGACCTGCGATTTTAAATTTGCTAGAAAAGCTTGATGGACGCCTTTTCTATTTCTCGCTGATCAATCAGCGGGCGGAGGCGTGTTGTCAGTTTTTAAAACATATCTATAGTGAAGAATCTAGATTGTATTATATATTTTGTAAGCAATCCATCACTCTAAAAATTCAGAATTCCAAGAGCGGATCTCCTTCTCACGGCGAAATAGACTGCAAGCAGCTACCAAAGGGTTGGGCATAAAACTAGGGCTTCAGCAGTTGCAAGGAAGGACTCACCCATCCAAAGTGTGTACTAATATCCATGCATAAGTGGTCAATAAGAAATTCGGCCATCTATTACGACCACCGGTGACGTGTTCATGGTCGACAGGAAAAAAAGTGGCGACGTAAAAATATGTCACAAGTTCAGCCACATATAAAGCTCCTTGTAGCGTCACCTGTAAGAGCTATCGTGAGAAGCAATGTAGAGATAACTTCAACAGTTACAACAATTTTATGTGAAGAATAAAATTCTCCGCTCTCCTTACCCTAGCCTAACGTGAATTAAGGCTTCAAACGTTAAATCACTTATGTAGAACAACCCATTTCTCTATTTCAGTACTTCATTTAAAAAATTAACTAAAAGTCGTAAATCCCTTTGTCAACCACGTGAGTGACTACGACACACCCTTAGAATTCACAAATATTAGGTTGATGCATAATTATTGCGGATTTTTCCAGCAAATTTCACTTAAAGGCACTGTTCGCGATGATTCAATGGGCGGATGTGTCGATGACGTGTCCGTCCGCCTCTCATTCGACGCCACGTCAGACTGTCTGACGTGACATGGAATGAGAGGCGGACACGTCATCGACACACCCGCCCATTCAATCATCGCGAACAGTGCCTTTAAAGAAATTACAGAAATACTAAGCAAAGACATAATCAAGTAATTACTCCGGAACTTATTCACCATCTACGTCAAGCACTGCTTCCCATTGATCAGTTAGTCGGATCCCAAAAGTAAAGAAGTTTTGATCCTTACGGGCGATCCACGCCTTGACATCGGCCATCAAGTCATCCAAATCGACGTAACTTCTATTCTCTAGCCATTTTTTCGATGAACGGTTAACGAGATAACCCATAAAAGTTCCTGCTGGTGAATATGGCAGATTTAGGGGCAAATCCCATTTCTTGGTTGGTTCTGGCTCATTGTTCGATCGCCGAAAAGTTACTGAGATCGCGGAATGACTGCGCCACCTTCCAGTCTTTCTCGAAGTAGTTAGGCCTAATGTCGCGAATATGCGGATGGTTTTCTAATTATATTTTTGTAGAGGAAATCAAGCAGATAATTTCTAGAAAAGGCCCGAACTCAATAGTCGAACACCTTCGGGAGAAAAAAAGCCGCGAAAAAATCCGCAGTAATTATGCATCAACCTAATAGTAAAGACTATTTCTGGCTTTTCCTGGTTTCGAGAATTTTGCTCTAGAATAAAGGAGATGCTGCAGCTGGGGTTGTTATTCTTACCGCTTCAAAGCTACAACTTGACTGTACGTAGTTTTCTCTTGCTTAGTCCCCAAATGGATGAGGAACTTTGAATAAAACCCATAGTACCTGTTGGACGAACGTTTTCTCCACGCAACGTCTTTTCGACTGCTGAGTGGCCTCAAAGGCGTTGTTTACCTGGAAACATGAAGAAGTTTAAGTTGCATTCTCTTACTTTCTCTTCAGTATTTTCGAGCTTCCCGGAACTCACTGCTTCCCAGGTGCTTTATTTTTCCTCATATCGCATGGACCCATAACGACGTCTAACTTTCCCAGTCTATGAGCCCCCGAAGTAGTCTTCATCCCTCTGCATTCTCCCTTAGCCCGAGCGTTCGTTTCTACATATACTCTGCCCCTTCACTTTTTCTCACCTGGGTGAATGCATAATCGCCACCACTGTTTCAGAACAACCGTCAAAGTCCAACCATGAACTATTTTCATGGATTCGTCCCAACGAAACAGAGTACTCCGATCTTTTCAATTTCAAACTAGCATGAGCTCACCTTTTTTCTATGGTATAAAATCATTCTGACAAAAGTGCAACAATTAACGATGGCAAAAATGGTTATCACTATTAGACCACGGAGGAATTCTGCGTAATAAACGTGAATCAAGTTGCACGGTGGTGTTACATAATCCAACATCCATTGTTGAATTGAGAAGCCCATTTGGCAAGACACTGAAAAAGCTACTTTGTTTGTATTATACAGTGTCTTCGGTGCGTCTTGATTCTTGTTGATGAAGCACAGTGCGTTCGGTTATATTCTCAGGTGGACATAGATGATGATGGATTCGCGATGACCTGACAATGAATGAACATTTTTGCTCAATTGAACGGTTTCATACTCTCTAGCCTACTCATGGCTTACCGACGCGGCTTCGGAATAGCACGTGCACGCTGCTTATCTACAGTTTTTAGTTTTAGCGTAACGCAGACATGAGTTACTAATTATTGTTTTGCGTGAGCCCTTCAGGGTCGGCGCATTTCGCTTGTGCCAGTATGCAAGAATGCGCATGTGGAAAAGTGCTGTTGCACTCGAAGAGGACGTGCGCTAAGGCGATCGTTGGCTCCCAACAGTAATTGACCAACAATCTGTAGTGGTTTCAGACGAGTGCTCAAACATACGTGTGACCTGGCGTTGTCTTTGTGGAAGGCCACACCTTTGCGATTGGCTCGTACTGGGCGCTTCTATGTATACTGCTGCTGCCGTCGAATTGTCTAAGTTAGTACAGGAACTTCCAAAAGTGATCCTTTGGTTGCCAGCGATAGCTCGTACCAGGTAATTGCCTTCCAACACTACTAACAACAAAGCATGATCTTCTATGCATGAATTTTGGTTTCTGGGATATTTAGTGTCAGTTCACTGTCAAGCGCTTTTGAAAATACGTAGGTCTGCTGATTGAATTTTCACTTACCTAGAACTAAAAAGAAGGAGAAGCCAAAAGAGAGCAGCACAATACCCGCAATGAGACCTGTTGTGAACCGTTCAGTGAAAATACCCTTGTAGTGCGTCGGCATAAAGACGGAAGTGAATCTTAATGAGGTAAAACTCAGTAGACTTTGTTCCAGTGTTGATCCACAATCAGAAAAACGAGTTTGCGCTTGAAACATGGTGGAGTTGAGAAATTCTGGTCAAAGTTTTAGGAAGGGTTTTATTTGTGATAGGTCGATGCGTGATTATTGCAGATTTTTTCGCGGCTTCTTTTCTCCTGATAAAATTAAACATTTAAATTCGGGATTTTTGTAGAAAGGATCTTCTTGCTTTCCTTAACAAAAATATTTCTAAAAAGTCATCTTCATATTCGCCATTTTGTGCTCATTACTTCGAGAAAGGTTGGAGGGCGGCGTAGTCATAAAGTGAACTCAACGATTTCCTCGGCAACGGAACAATTAGCCGAAGCCGAATAGGGAATGAAATTTGCTTCTACGGTCGCCCAATTCACCAAAAGAACCTCATATTAATTATCATGTCAATCGTCCGTTGAAAAATTGGCTAGCGAACAGAACCGTCGACGAAATGGATGGCCGACGTCAAGGCGTGGATCGCCTCCAAGAATCGAAACTTTTTCGCCTGTGGAATCCGACTGCCTAGCAAATGAGAAGGAGTGCTTGACGCAGATGGTGGATATGGTCCAAAGTAATTATTTGGACATGTCTTTGCCAAATACTTCCATCGTTTTTTCAAGTAAAATTTGCTGAAAGAAATCCGCAATAGTTATGCATCAACCAAATATTTATAGAGAGTGCCGTGGTCGCTACCTCACTCGGAGATTAGCTCCTGGTGAGCCCATTCCTCTAGAGAGGCCCCATCTCTAAGTGATGAAAGATCGACGTTTCAAGCAGCACGAGAAGTAACACAAAAATTTCTTAACACAGTAACACAAAACAAAAATATCTATTAACCGCTAGTCTAGCATTTTGCTGTTGAGCTTTTCGGTAATTTGAACAACGGTTCTTGGGAGTACGGTAGCGACTAGCGGTATTGAAAGTACGAGTACAAGTCTCGTACTTTCAATACCGCTAGTCGTTTTCGAAAGGAACCTTCAAAAAAGTTCATGAATCCTGGAAGAAGACCTCGCTCTTGAGATTCACGAAGAAGTCACGGGCCTTAAAGTCCTCGGAAATAAAGTTCAGAGAAGTTTTTAGGAAAAAGTTGTACTCTTTGGTGAAAGGTACAACTCTATGGGACGCAAGTAAGGGCGTGGTGACGTCTTATCACCGGAGAAGCACTCTTCCAACATTTTTTGATGGCAAAGGGATAGAAAGGGCGGTGTGTACTGATGGGCAATCTCGCCACCATTTTAATTCCTGATTGAAACCACCATCTACTGAATTGAGAGCAGCATTTACTCTATGTAGAATAGTTCACATTCTACTACTCGGTACTCGAATGCAATTCAACCAACAAACCTGTTTAGAGAAATTACCAAATGTGAATAAATAGATATATCGTAGCATATTAAACAAAGCTGGCCAAATCGAGCAGCCACTTCGAGTCGTTGAACTGCTTTGAAGTCGCTAAATAAAGGTCAATGAACATAATCATTTAATTTTTTCCTGACAATATCTCTATCAGAGGCGTGTGTCCTCTGAAGGAGAAAGGAAACCAAAAGTAATTCAGACCATCGTGACGTGTTGAGCATTTGACTTCTCTCCAGAAAGTGAATATTGAAAGCCCCTTGTTCTCTCTGAACCTTCTGTGACGACTAGCTTTCAAACGCATGGCTACTGTTGAGCAACTGAGATGTTTCGAGAGACTCGTCGAGCAGTTAAGCAGGCAGCTCTCTGAGCAAGATCACAAGACCGCTACTAAATTTCTGGTCGCCTACATTTCACAGAAACCCGAACAACGTTCGCTGGTGTGCGACTGAAGACAATGAGGCCTGCTCCGGGAAAATTCAGATAATTATGATGGTTAAAAAGGATGAAGGGACCATCTCTGGTGTTAATCAGTCCCAAATTCCAGCTTCTCTCTTCGTAAACTTCGGCATTTGTATATCATTCATGATTGTAGCATGATTCTACTGCCGAAGAACAATACTGATATCAATATTATATTGATTTTAACAATCTCGTCGGCAGAAGAGCCACAGTACAGTCATTCAATCAATCCCGTTCTTGGGATGGGTCCCGCGTTTGAATTCCATTCAGTACAGTGGTTGCGGTTTGAGTGCGTATGTGGTCTATACAATGAATTGCGGCGGCCAGCTAATGCACGAGCCAGTGATTTTATCATTCCCGACGAGTTTGGCACCGATTTGCTGACCCTGGAGAGACCAAAGGCTCTATTGGACTAGGGCGAATATTGACTAGGATTCGATCGCCGGATCATACCTGTGTGTTAACGCGCCACTTGCCATTACAGTACCTCTGTCTTCATTATGAGTAGTATTATTATGTAGTTCGACGCACGCTCCACCAACTGTGGAGATTCGACCCCTCTTTCTTCAATTTCGACCTTCCCTCAAAACCTATTCCTTGGAAGTAACTTTTCTACAACGTTCTTAAAAGAGCTACGAATTTTCGAACATGGATCCACCCACCGCGGATGAGTCCCTCTATCTCATTGGTTGCCCTTACCGTTTGAAATTTCTTCCCGGTGTCTGGGCTGTTCCAAAATTGAAATATTAAATATTCCCACCAAAAGTTTCATTAAAATAGTAATATATACCTTGTTCTTCCTGTTTACTATGAGGTCGTGAAGGAAATATGTATGTGAAGGGTCTAGTCCACATATCTGGAGGGAAGGTCAAAGGGATTCGCACTAGACACCCACCGCCTTGTAAAATTTTACATATTTAGTAAAGGAATATATGAGAGGAATAAGTTGGCCCTTCCCAGGGCGCGGTACCTAACCCCCAGGGGACAACGAGTTTTGCAGCCTTATCAAAGAAGCTCATATTGATGAAGAGGTATGGCCTCGTGTGTAAAGATATGATAAAAAGTTTGTTTAAAAAGTAAATAGGAATAGAAAATAATAAAAAAAATAAAATTAGTTTAAAATTGAAAAATAAAAATCAAGAAAAGCTAGGAGACGAAACTAAATTTATGTGAGCTAAGAAACTGATGGAGTAGAAGAAAGTAAAGCCAGCAAGTAGTTATCATGATAAAATAACCTATAACAAGGGTTAGATACATATTCGTTTCAGTTACGTAACGAAGAGAGCCGGATCTGACACTTTCAGGAACATAATGTCAAGTAAGTATATCGCTATCGTTAGGCATTGCCAGGAACCTCTTTACAGAGGGCCAACTGCAGGTCTTTAGAAAGAGTTAGGCATCTTTCATAGTCCACGACCGGTCGCGCGACTGGTCGCGGACCCATCCCACGAGCGACCGGCGACCGATCGCGCGATCGGTCGCGCGACCGGTCGCCGGTCCCTCGTGAGATGGGTTCGCGAAAAGTCGCGCGACCGGTCGTGGACTTTGAAAGATGCCTTATAGATCATATGATAGCTTAGCTGTCCTATGACCCATGTTACAAGGGTAGGTGTCATTAGACCGGAAATTGAAAAAACATTTTTGAAAAACAACTTATTAGGAACAACTATCGAGCAACCTTATTGTAGATACTAACACCAAATAGTGTCGGGTTTTCCTCGAGTTCCTATATGATTGTGGTATTCTGAATTAAGTACTTTAGTTATCAACATATTGGAAAAATTACATGAAATGAGAAAGGAATGAAGTCGTACGCGTCCTAGAAGGCAGAGACTGAACGATACTCTCCCTTTATAGTCACACTCCCCGGAACTTCTATGACTAGGTGTAGGATCATCGTTATAGGAGATACCAGCTCAAAGCTTAACCCACTATGAGCGCGTAATAGATGGGGATTTTGTCAGACAGCGTGCTTCTTTTCTTATTCTGGGGTTCGCTTTTGATTCATTACCCCCATACAAAATGCCTTTAGGGCTTCTCGCACCTTCGTAAAATTTCCATTATGCCTATGAAGTGTGCTCGTTATGAGTTTGAGCCCTATAACAATCTAAGACATGAAACCTTTCCGACAACTGTTCGCTATGCTCATAGAGAGTGATCTACACTAGCTGTGTCTCCTGGATGCTGGTCTCGGTGGCAACAGATCCTACAGCAGCGCAGTCTCTAACCCTTAGGAAGTGCTCTGTTCTTCAGATGTGAGAGACACCGCAAGGGTGTTCTCTGTTTAGAGGATCGTCTCCTATGGTCTCACCTCTCGGTTCTACATCTCCGTAAAACTGAAATAATTTTGTAAACTTTGGAATCAGCAATTATGCATGCCATTCTTATAGACTCATTCCCATTCCTCTCCCCGCTGGAGATTATTGCGATAACATGGAACATATTCTTGAATATGGCTCACTTTGTTGAAAAGGAACGCACTAGTCCAGTAAACATGATGTTTTTATTCCGTCTCGTTCTGAACTACTTTGTAAACAGCTATGCCCCCAGGATCAACAACAGCGGCAAGACTAGAAGACTAAAATAAAGGTCGAGGAAAAGAAGAGAGCCTCAGGAATATTTTTCGCAAGTGTTGTTTTCGTCAGATGGAACACTTGTCTTCTTTCAGACTTGGGTGTTCTTTTCTGCTCTTGTTCTTCTTTGTTCTAAAGATCTTTGCCGAGGCTTCGGAGGCTCTACTCTGATCATGGCAGTAAAACTGGTCAAGAGGGAGTCATGGGCTGCCTTGTGACGGAGTTTTTGCTTTGTGTGAATCTTTCTGAGCAGCTGAAACTTTTACGTGAAGTCTGACACGCCTTATGAAGCATCAGCATCTGTATTACAAGAAGCGAAAATCCGAGAAAAAAGCGCTCACACGGCTCTTATACCGAAGTTATTAGGCTCGTTAGCACCAAAAATGTCAGAGGTTGCTATAACGCAGATGCTATCTCTGAAGATGGACCAAAAAATAATCGTAATCTTTCCGAGTCATCCTCATAGAGTGCAAAAAGCATCTGTGCTGCGTATCAGATAATTGGCCTAATCTCAATCGACTAAGGACACATTCAGAACAGCTAATTTGTTGGAACAATCTTATCAATTTAACGAGCAGGTAGGGTACTCGATAGCATGATGACTACATTTTGGAAGGGCATGGGGGCAAACAAGTTTGAATCAAGATCCGCTGATCTATGCTACCATCACCACTATTCAAATGGAAAGTAGGCCTGTAACTCCACAATTGAAGGTCAGGCAAAAGTAGTAGTAGCCACTAGTACCAGTCAGTTATTTTATGGTCGACTATTTCATTAGTTTGTAAATGATTTCAGTGATTGTATGGAACTTGTATGTGCCTTGAGTTTGCGCAACTTCCCTCACTTTGGCGAGTTAGTGGTGGAATGTAAAGCGTTGCTTTGTCATCATATATGTGACGAAAACGATCATATTTGATACGCGCTGATAAAGGGTCATGAAATGCGGTAGCTGCTGGATTTATCACGCTCTTCGTCTCATCATTATACCAAGGTGTAACAAAGTAGATAGTCGATGACGTCGATGACAAGAAAAAACAGCGACTAACAAAGGCTGATCAGTAGGCCCTAGAAAGCATGAGGCATCGGAACCCAAGAGCACCTCTCGAAGTTCCTCCCTCATCAGCCTTTACCATTTGTAATCACCCAGCTCTTTAAGACCTTGACAAGCGCTGTCAAAACGAGAAAATTTTCTCGATCCCTAATTATTATGCTGGTACATTTCGCAACATACATATGCTAAAGAATAGAAAAAGGCGCCGTTCCCCTTTCAATCGGCTACAGGATGCGACAAAACGTATCGTGCAGATGGTGCAATCCAACGGTGCAGTGATGCAGTTCCGATGAATGGTTCATATTTACAAGATAAGAAGAGTTTGAGCTGATTTGGGCCAAAGAAGGCAAGAGACTTGAGTCCGCCACGCTTTTCGTAGTAATAGTGAGAACTTTTTATTTTGTGTGATGTGGGTGTGAGGGAATGGTAGATGGTTGGCGTTCGAGGCATATCACAACTGACATAGGATGATAAAGATCTCTATATAGCCAGTGTCACCAAATTTGTTACACTTTCTTATAGTTGTCCGTATATGTGAAGTGGTGTGCGGTAGGAAGGCGAGGGGCGACAGGGAACGGTGGTTGGTGACAGATGTGACAATGACAAGCACTGATGAAGCACGATACCTTATGAAGACCCCATAGGTAGATAGAATGGGCGGAATCCTTGCCCGGTTACTTGCCTAGATCTTTTGGACGCTCTCTTCACCAAAGAAATGTGAGAACGGGTTTCGGTGATGGAAAACTGAGCGCGCTCTATCCTTATAGATTATTCTAACGAATAAAGCCTTTACATAGAAACGAGTAGGGAGGAATACGCAATCCTATAAGTTAAGTTATGAGTTATGCGATCACCAATTTGTAGAGAACATTACAAGTGTACCAGAATCTACGGAGCTGAGGAAGACTGCGTTTTCACTCGTTAACTATGTACATCAGTGAATACCAATTAGATAGGTTGATAATGGTTGACCAGGTGCTCTGCTCAATTGCAGGAAGCTCGAGCTAATCTAGAAAAAGGGAAGATGAATTCTCATTATCACCGTTCATGAAGACACATGGAGACCAAGAACAGTAAAATGACTGGACTCCTCGAAAGCTCTGTTAGCAGAAGAATTGATTCATTTACAGTTACCTGGAGAATGTTTCGAATTGGCCGAGCATACACATTTCTCGCAGAAAGGAGGAAATCCCAATGTAAGTTCGGCCTCTGGTAGTTAGTTGAACTTTTGCTGGAAGATCCCGCTTCAAGCTTGTTAGTCACCTTCTAGCTTAATAAGTTTTCGGATTCAAGCTGTTTCATCCCTTTGTTACGCTAGGACACGCGCTTGACTCTAGCCTTCGTCATTTTTGTCCCTTGACTACGTGAGCCGATTTTCTAGCAATCCTTTTGGAGCGGTACAGAACAGCCTCGAGTTCTCCTGAGTCACCCATTGAACAACCAAAAAGGTTATCTCTACGATTTTTTGAGAACAGTAGCGAGAACAATAAATTTAATGAACTTGATTCACGCACAGCAGAGCTGTCGGTATAGGGAGAAAGCGTAGAAGGCAGTTGCAACTCTGTTATTGCTCCAATCCGCTTTGGTTCACATACTTTGCGGTTACTTTTTCGTACCAGAAGACGACAGCTGACCCCGCTAACAGCTTCTACAGACTCCTTGACCATCGCGCGCTTAGAGGCACGCGCATACTCATTGCTCTCCATGCGAATCTCGCTATACCCTAACATGCCGTTGCCATCGCCAACCCTTGGTCCAGTAAGACGGTCCAGATTGATAGTCCCCGCTTTAATTGTTGACTAGGTAAAGGCAGCGTAGGAGTTAGCAAACAATATAAAAATGGTTGAAATTGTGTCCAATTCAAATATAAACCAGTAACTCGATCGCCATCGTAGCGTGGGTCGACAAGTAATTTCTATAATGAGATATTCACAACATGGTTACCACAGCATGCCCGCTACTGTACATTTTTATGAAATTCCGATTACCTTTTGAGTTACTCACTCCACGCTCTCACACCTGCCTAATCTTTCCTCGAAGTTATTCGCTGTTCTAATGGACTTATAATCAACCAGCGGCTGACTCGATAAGTGACAGCGGTGTATATAAATTCCCCCTTTTACAATGATTATATTGGTCGGAAGTTAGCGAGAAGGCACACCTGACGGAGGAAAGAGGAAATAATCCTTCTGCTAAATCATCGGTCAAAGATCCCTTGGAAGGAGCCATTAGTATGATTGATTGTATATTTTGAAAAGAGAGGTCTGAAAGACTGGCTCAACATCGTCCACAATCACCTCTGTATGATTCAATATGTGCACACCATTCCTCACGTTTTAAAGCTAAAGTAATTCTTAATACTACGTTCGAAAATGAGCAGAAACAAACATTGAACTAAAGCCATATATAATGTATAACACAAATCAAAACAATCCCAAATTCCAGGCAGTAAACCAACTCCACGCCAACTCCAGGACACGCAATGCAGATTCTATCAGAATTTGCAGATTTGCAGCAATTAGCTAGCAGTTATGGTCACAGGGTCTCCCGAAGGTGCAGGCAGAAATATGAGCTCTCACTTTCACGGGTTTCGCCATGACTTGCTGGGACTTATCTCAGAATACTCTAGCAGTAGGTTCTGACTTGCAGTGCCACAAAAATTAGGAATTTTTCAAAAACCATGAAACTGAGCGGTATTGGGAACTAGTGATCAAAAACTAAATTTCAGCCTCTGATGAAGGTCTGGGGAATTGAGTGGCTTTTACAATTTCACTATGGTTCCAAAATTGCTGGAGCTCTGGAGTTCCCTAACATTCTTTTACCCTTTATGACATACATTAAGTCTGGAAGTAGAAGATAACTGTTGCTTCCACATTCAACTACAGGCAGGGCAGTGAAAACGTGTCGTCCAACAATCGAAGATTAATGTTCATTATGATGATGATACCCACTGAAACGAGATGTTGGCTAAAGTTGCGCCCACCCACCGAAAATTCTCGTCCTTTGGCAGATTTCAGCGCCTTTCGTAATGCAGGAGCCAAGCCGCTCTCTGCTATTGTACCTGATAGGAGACAAATAGCCTTCAAACGATCTGAAACTCCTCCCAGCACATTTATCCGCGTGACACTTTCAGGGCTACTTGAGGCAAAGCTTAAAATCAGGATAGTGCCCATTTTGAACTGTATGTGCTTTGTGAGTACGAAAACTCTGGAATCAAAACGTGCATTTGCCACTTGCACGTTCGATGCTTGAAATGTTTTTAAGCCCTGGTCCCGACGAGATTTTCTAAAAATGCGAGAAGATTTTTGAAAATGTCTTCAGTGTCAGGCAAACAGGCCAATCGTCGTAAATAAGGCTTGCCTATGCAGGCTCCCTGCAATTCAGCCTTTGTCTCTAGCTCATCAATGCTGCAAATGATCAAAAATGTGTCTGATTAG